AATTGCTGGAGCTGTGGCTCCTGACTTGAGGAGCTGATGGGAACCATGCATTGAAAAATCCAGAGCAGCGCAGCGTGTGCTAAGCCAGGCAGACAGCTGACTCAGCGCCTCCCCTGTTGTCTGTGTGCTCACTCGACAGTGTCGTTATTCCCGGTGACAGAGCACAGCCTCGGGCTCCGAACACCCCTCAGAACCCTCTGAAAATCCTCCTCTCAGCCTGGGCCCTGGAATTCTTACAGACACCCCTGATCCTGGTCCTGATCTGCCCTTTCTCTCTCTTCGAGCAAATACAACCAGAACCATGAGTGTCAAGCCAATAAGGCTGTTTCACCACCACAGGAGTGACTCATTCAGGCGCAGAGTACACAGTCAACACAGATGAAGTAGACAATAACCATTATTTTGTCTGTTTGCCGCATTTTGATTTCCGTATTGTTCACAGTGCCCACGCCTGTTATTTCCTGCTCGGAACTTCTATAAAAGTCAGTAACACCCATATTAACCCATGTGTTTTTCATGTTTGCGGCCACCACTGTATAAATTGTAAAAAATAAATAAATAAATAAATAAATAAATAAATAGAACTAAAATAAAACTAAAATAAAATAGAATAAAATAAAGTAATGGTTGAAAGAATCCTATTTTTTCTTCAACTATATCATTTTTCTTTCCTTCTTTTCTTCGGGGTCCCCAAAGCCTAAAATTAATCGGATGGTTCCGGCACAAATGGAGACTGAAAAGTTCATGTGACAATAGTGGCAAAATACTGACAAGAATATAAAACATTGTTTGCACACAATAAATATTTCTTGCTTTTTAAGGTATATGGTAATGTGTGAGCCCATGTGTTTTCCTTTATGTTTGCCAGAAAGTCACTGAAAAACTTAAATCATTGAGTATATAACTGTTTATACTGATTTGTTTTAGATCTATATGTCATAAAACTTCAAAACTTCAAAAGGCTTATTTGTGATTTAGGAGAACTATTGACACTCATTACTAATGTTGAAATACGTCCTTTGTATTTAACAATTTGAAAGATTAAACCAGCTTATGTCGTGTTTATGAACAACCCTAGAACGTGAGGAAAATCTATGATAGTTAAGGATCATATTTTTTCTGGATCTTGTGTCTCTTTGGGCTTCAACCAGATGACTGACAAAATCTAAAAAACACTTTCCGATCCTGCTAAAGCAGAACACGAAACAATAAACCTAAAAAAAAATACAGCAGTGCTAAATCAGCATGGTTTCAAACTGTCTCAAATGAAAATATATATGAACTCAAAATGTTAAATAAACACATTATATGCATTTTAATATATTTAATATGGCTGTCTTCAAGTTTTAGGGTTGGAAAATCTATGAACTTCATACTGATTTTGAAAAACTAATTTGCATTCTACTACACAGAAGAAGTGTTCATGTTGACCTGCCCTCTCTGCCCCCTGTGAGGCAGCTGATTACCTAATTCAACTCTGATAATGCTTTAAAATGTGAATGAAAGATTCCTCATTGAATTAGAGCTTTTTCTACAGTGTAGCAGCCAGACTTTATCCCACTACCACATAAAATCTTTCATTTTACCAAACACATGCACATCGAATTCCTATTTGTTGCCTCATTTTAAGCCTATTTGGGTCTTACTCTATATTCAGGAGGGCAATACACAAAAACACGCTATTATATTTAGAGAAAACAATGAGTTATTTGGTCTGACACTAGCTGTGGGTGGTTTCTGGCATTTCCTTCTCCTTGCGGCTCACTGGGATGATTTTGGTGACAAGTGACAATAAAAACAGCGACACTGGTTTAACCTGTGACTTTATGTTTTTATTGCTGTTTTTTTTTTTTTTTTTATGAACAACAATATGTGTTAAAACTGATTCCTGCCTTTGAGCTAAACTATCCCTGATCCCCTGAAAGATAAATGTGACACATATAATTATAATATAATTAAGTCAACACCTAACTAAGCCCAAGCTGAGGAGTTCCTGTTTAGGATGCCGTACTCCACCCATGTCTCGTTTGCATAGTCTGATGATAATCTGGGAAAACATTGCAGCATTATCAATATGTTTATTACCATTTTCATGTGTTAGTGCTCCTTCCTTTTACTTTTGGTCTGACTGAAGACTCAAACCCGGTTGCAAGGTGGTTTCCAAGAAGAAGCGTTTTTGGCATCAGTGAAACCGTCAGAAAGAACAGATAAAGTCTGCACCTGTACTGTATGTAAATGTGTGGCGACACAGATAACCTTAGTCACTGCGGCGGCTCTGATTCAGCTCCACACATGCACAGACTCGTCCGAAAGGTAGTCACGGCACTGAGCTGCTCTGCTCTGCTCTGCTTAAGGCCTACGAATGCTGCAAACCTGCATTCCCGCACCTGCCCCGGGCACACACTGTTCGCTTCTGTACTCTGGCAATGAGAGACCGAAATTGAGAGATGAAGGGATGAAGGGACGCGAAAGGAGGTGGGCGAGAGACGGAGAGAAAGACGTAAGGAAAATGGCTCGGACGGTGAAGAAGAGAAGAGAAGCCTGCATACCAGAGCCGCAGACAACACAAATCTCCACTTCACACACATTCTCGTGGAGGCTTTATGATCTCCAAAGAGAGCAAACAGGCGCGGATGATCTGATGTTCTTTGCTGGGGGGGAAAGTACATGCCACTGCCTGCACCTGTATGCTAACTGACACCACGTATCAAGATCAGGGTGGATAATAAGATGCAACTGTGGTTCCTCTAAGAATCTGTAATTTGTAAAAAAAAAATCTACTGCTGCCTTTATTCACCACGTTGTGCTCACATAGTTTTGAAAAGATGTTCGCAAAGCGTTGCTCTGAGTGACTCCCATGTGTTTACACTCACAACAGCCTCCAAGGCACAAAGCAAGCATTTTCTTTCATATAGAGCAGCTCTATAATTGGTTTCATACATGTTCTCTTTGTTATTGAATGGGATTCCGTAATATTAAAGGAAGCAGCGTGCTTAAAGAAAGAACTGAGGAGACAAACAGCATGGATAGAAAATTGCTTATTTGTGCAACTGAAACAAGAGCTATTTCCTTCTCCCTCTGCGTGGGCCCCAGGTGGAGGAAAGGGGAGAGCGAGTGGTCAACAGAGGTCTCACTTTCTAGGAGCAGCTGAATACCAGAGGAGCTGACAGGTATGTACATATTGGAATGTGCTTCTCAGCCACACCTGTGGGGAACACACCCACCCAGCCTGGTCTCTCTCATCCCACTGGCTGATCTCCGCCGTGACTGACAACTGGAAGAACTATTTGGCTCCGGTCCTCAGGAGCCAGGGGGCAGGTATGGTGAGTTGTGAACACGGACCAATGGCAGCGGAGAAATCCCTCCGAGCCAGGCGGGGCTGCAGTGAAATAAAACTCATCAATGGGGTGTGTCTCAAAAGTTTGTCAGCAGTCAAATAGTGAAGGGCTACTGCTGTCCTTTGCTGCGTGAAGATCTGAGAAGCTGGCAGAGATGGTAAAGACAGACAGAGAGGGACTTTTTTTTTTTTTTTTTTTTGTCCATGACAGGTTGACCTCTTCAGTGGCTGAAGGATGGAAGTGAAGCGACATCTTCTCCAAACCTCTGGACTGCCACTTTCGGGGTCGGGGACTTTGAGGAAAGTGATGGTAGCTTCTTGCAATCTTTGGTTGGGGACTTGAAAATTCTCTACAGACTTTCAACAGTCTCAGGAGTCATTTTTGTCCCTAAACAATAGGTCCTTCATCACAGTATGACAGAGGTTAAACAGATGCTGTTGTGTTACTGTGGTCGCTCACATCTCCTTATCACTTTTCCAGCCCAGCTATAGATTCTGTATCCGTTGGACGGAGAACTGATAAGGGCATGTGCATGACATTACCTACAGATACTGGAGAGGCAACATCTGAGCCACAGAGCCTGTGGGGTAATTCAGTCACTCCATTTATGACTGCTGATCATGTTGAAGGCTGTTATTAGTTCTGTGCTTTTTGAGCTAAACTGATTTGAAGAAGGATGTCCGGAACTGTCTAGCATTGCTTTTTTATAAATGTTAAGAGCTGTTACTAGCTTAAGGGTTTAAAATGTGAACTAACTAACAAAGCAAGGGGTTCATGCAAATTAACTGCTAACACCGAGGTCACACTGTAATCTATGTCATGATCCGCTGACCTTTGTAGAAATGTTTTAGTGCAGGTTTGGGGCTCAACAGACATAAAACCAAAAATGGGTCATAACAAACTACTAAAAGGTTGGTTTCTTTGGTATAAAGCTTGGAAACTAGCAGCGCCACAGCCTGACATGATACAGCACGACTAACATAATCCACTGTGAGTACACTGAGGATGACACAACTGATGAACTGGAATACAAAATTAGGTGAGTAATTTCACTGTGATGCGTGCCAGCATACTGACATGATTTTCACACCTGTAAACACGCAAGCTTGGCATTTCTACACTGTGATTACAGCTCAATGAGTGAACTGTATCAAATCGACGACTGTGTGTGTGTGTGTGTGTATATATATCTTGTACATTCTGTACAAGAACAAATGTGTTGATACCAAAAGACAGGTGACGATTTAAAGCAGGAAAATATGCAAATGTGTGGGAAGTGGTGTGACAATAGTGAGCCAAAAATCGAACGACTTTTATGAATGATTCTGGCAAACTTCTAAACAATTTAAGTCACTTTTCGTGTGTTTCGACTGTTAAATGTTAAAGAGCTTCATGAAAACTCTTTCAATAAGGAGCTCAAATGACATTGTGCTGTATCTTAACATGGATGAACTGCTCTCCAAACTGGACCCACATTCAAATACTTAAACACATCATTATCTTAAACTGAGCTGATAGCCCCCGCTACAACATCCTGGATATTGTGACTCGAAAAGCTTTAATTAATTATTTAATTATTGTACATATTTTTGTAACTTTACAACTATCACGTGTTTTAATCGCTGCACCTGTTACTTAATAACTGTCACGGGAAATGCCAAGTTTCATGCCATATTTATTGCTTTTATTATTGCACAGCTGGTGGTTTCCTGCTTCACACTTTGTGCATTTTTGAGTACATTCAATTACCAAATTCACTCCTTAAAGAAGTGAAGAGAGTAACAAAACAGCAGAATGATCTTGTCAAGACACCACAAACAGGGTCCTGTGTAAAAAAAAACACACTCACACACACACACACACACACACAGACACAGGAGGGCACTCGGTACGAGGTTGCGTCTGCTGAGATCCACTGGGTGTATCCTGACTGCTCTCTGGCCCCGAGGCATCCACTCCCTCTCTACACCTGGTGGAGGATCCTTTCTCCTCTCAAACTCAACAATCTTCTCACCAACTGCCAGCACTGAAGGTCACCTCCTTTATGCAACACTTCATGTCTGCTTCAACACATCCTGCCTCCTCAACCCACAGGCACTCACATTACCTTCCTTTTATTGCTGTACATGGTTTCATGACTGTGGTGACTCCAGTCAGGTGGACACAGAATTGACCACACAAACAGTACAATGATTTCTCTGTATGTTTGCAGTTGTTAGATGCCATGAATAAAAACATCTATTTGAAGCCCTAAAAGTCTCTTGCAAGTTGTTGAAAAGATGGAAGAGGCTGTGCTGCCCATAGGCATGATAGTATTCCACATTAAAAACAAAATAAGGGAAATTGGTGAATAAAATACAGACATTCAGCCAAAATGGTACAATAATTAGCAAACCTTACCTTTTTTTGATAAAGATATAGCAGCATAGCATAAGTATACAATCATCCACAAATTGTGCAGAATATAAAGACAAAGCAACGCATCTCATCTGAGTAAGTAGTGCAAAATGTTGTACTGCAAACCTTTCAGATCTGCGAGATTAGAGTACATGAAAAATCTTAATTAATGCAATGCCCTGATGCATATTAGATAATAAATTGAATTAGAGTCCTTTGTTCACCTGTGTAGACAGGACTAATGATTCCATTCAGAGGAACAGCTGATGAAAGCATATCAGGCTGCTGTATTTAAGCCAGACCAACCATGGAAGTACTGAGGTCCCACAACTTCTTGGCTGCAGCATCATCCAGGGCCTGTGGTGCCGGCTTTTTGAGGGCACAGTCACTGTACGGTGAAAGAAGTAAAAGAGGGGAAATATTATGAAAAGTCCCACATAGTGTTATCAAAATCCTGTCTGTGAATGGATTACAAGAAGCTGGTTGATGGTTGCGTTTTATTCATCCACAATGAGAAAACCACTTCTTTTTTCCACCCCAGGGCAACGAAAGAAAGGACTATTTACCATCATAAGGGGGATACATTTGAACGTTAATACAACAGTTAACACAATACTGATTACATTCAGCTGCACTTGCCTGTAGTAGAGGCCGCTGGTGTTTGCCTGGCTCTCATCCACAGCGCAGTAGATGGTGGTTTGGGCTCCTTCCCAGGGACTTTTGATCAGCAATAAAAAGGGCATGATTATCACCTTCTTCCACATGGCTAAGGTAGGGATAAAATGTCGGCCTAACTCTGTGCGGATGACCCCTGGGTGAAGACTGTACACCGTCACACCAGTTCCTAATGAGAGGCATCCATCAAATCAAGTGTTAGTTACAATACATGAACACATACAAAACAAGAACATGAGAGCAAAATGGTTCATAATAATGTGCATTACATGTGTATTTTAACATTGCTGTATTCAGAGACTTCATATCCATTGAGCTCTACCTTGTAGTCTTGCAGCCAGCTCTCTGCAGAAGAGAACATTGGCTAGCTTGCTTTGGCGGTAGCTCTTTTCAGGACTGTAGCTTTTATCAAGGTTGATATCATCAAACTGTATACGACCTGCAAGAAACAGTTAAATGTATTTTTAGCATGTTTGGCTAAAATCAACAATGTGTTCTAAAATGGCTTAAAAAATGTTAATTCACCTCTCTCATGTGCCAGGCTAGAGACAACAACAATACGACTTGGAGTTGACTTCTTCAGCAGGTCAAGCAGACAGTTGGTGAGGAGAAAATGTCCCAGGTGGTTGACACCAAACTGCATTTCAAAGCCGTCCTCAGTCTCCCACTTCGGACACATCATAATACCTAGCAGTGACAAAGGAAAAGAAACAGTCAAACTAATTACAAAATGATCTTTTAGTTCAACCACAGGTGATCCCAAATAAATGTATTTATTCTGGCTGACTAAAATCTGAACAGTGGCCCTGCAGAAGAAAAAAAGATGTAGTCATGAAAAAAAGTTTACATACACTTGTAAAGACCATGTTGATCATGACAGTCTTGACTTTCCTGTGATTTCTACAACACTTTGTTTTCTATGATGGAATGATTGAAACACAATGTCTTTGTCACAAAAAAAAGTCATGCATTTTTGGTTTCAAGCATGGATTTGATAAAGGGTTTATGGAAATATCACAAACTCTACTGGGTCAAAAATGTACATACAGTAAACTGAGTTATCACTTTTGGTGATGTAGACAGTTGTGTTAATTAAATGATCTTAGTGGTATGACCTCTTACCCATTTGAGAATGATTACAATTGACATCAGCTGCTGACTTCCGCCAATTTAGACAGGAACCATTTGATGCAATCATTAGATTCTGCCACAAATACTAAAATGGTCAAATCTGCACAACAATTCTTTGCACTGATTGCATCTTGCACTTTTAGTAACACTGTATTAATTTATTTATTTTTATAGATATTTTTGGGACATTTTTTGGCTTTTATTAGATAGGACTGAGAGAGAGACAGGAATGGGGGAAGGACCTGCAGCAAAGGTTCATGAGGACTATAGCCCCTATACATGGGACGCCAGCTCAACCAGGTGAGCTATCACGGCACCCCAACTGTGTTTATTCTCACTACTGTATTTATTCATTTTCATCTATGTATATACTGTACATATTATTATTGTTGTTATTACTATATTATTGTTATTGTTATTATAGGATATGTTTAGTGCTGCTGTGAAAGAGGTTGCTGCTGTATCAATGTAAATTTCCCCTGGCATGGGGAGCAATAAAAAATGATCTTATTTTATCTTATGGCCCAGTCTAATGAGTGGATTACTGTTCTGAAGAAGCAAATCGTTAAATTGAATAATAATAACAATAGCAATAATAATAATAACTTTTTAAAACCGTATATAGCACCTTTAAGAACAGCATTCACAAGGTGCTTTGACAATGAAAACATGCAATGCAGAGACAATCAAGGAAGTCTTAAAAATTAAAGAATTAAAAACGACATCCCACCAAAGAACTAGGCAGCTAAAAATGAAGAAATAAAAACAAAAGAGAACATGTAAAATAAACAGGTAGATAGTGTATAAAAACAGAAAGTTAAAAGCAAACTTCACATAAAAGCAAGTCTGTAAAAGTGGGCTTTAAGAAGTGATTTAAAAGAAGTTAATAACGCTGCAAGCCTTATCTCCTCAGGCAGGTCGTATCAAAGTCAAGGGGCACTGGTGGAGAAAGCTCGGTCACCCTTAGATAGCTAAACCTCGACTCGGAACGACCAAAAAGGGAACTACCTGAGGAGCTAATGTTCATAAGGGGTCAGCAGATCAGAAATGTAATTTGGAACGAGACCCTGGCGTGCTTTAAAAGTGATCAGTTTAACCTTAAAATCAATTTCTAAAACGAGCAGGGAGCCAGTGAAGGGAAGCCAAGATAGGTGTGATTTGATGTCTTCTGTTAAAACCGGTAAGAAGTCGAGCTGCTGCGTTCTGGACAAGTTGGAGGGAAGAGAGAGACTTGTTGGGAATGCCAGAAAGGAGGGAGTTACAATAATTGAGATGGGAGAAGATGGGTGCATGTATAATTTTTTCCAGATTCAGGTATGATAGCATCAGCTTAATTTTGGAGATTGTTCTGATTTGGAGGAAGCAAGACTGGATAACTTTTTTGATATGGGGAGTGAAACTGAGGTCTGAGTCAAATAAAATACCTCGATTTCTGGCAACGGGCTTTACATTAGTGGATAATGGGCTGAGGTTGTTGGCAGTGAGTCAGTGTGTGAGTTTGGAGGGTTAAAAAGTAGGACTTCAGTTTTGGAATTGAAGAAGGTTTTGAATCATCCAACAGTTAATGTCACTGAGACAGTTAAAAATTGCAGCTAGGATAAGTCAGTACAGTCACTTGAAGCCATTTCAAAGCAGTTACAGATCAACTGTGTAAACGATTGTAAGTATAAAATGCATGGTAAAGTTGTATGACTGCCACAATCAGAAAGAAAACATAAGCTATCACCTGCTACTGAGAGATAAGAGATTGGTCATAATGGTCCAGGGTCAACCAAGAATCACCAAAGAACAGGTCTGACATGCATTAGAAACACAGCTGTCAGTGTCCACAGTCAACTGAGTTTTACATTGACATGGGCTGAGAGGCTGCCGTGGAAGAAAGAAGCATTTCCTCCAGAAAAAGCACCTTAAGACTCAACTGAAGTTTACTGCTGATCACACGGACAAAGAAAAGGCCTTCTGGAGGAAAGACTGTGGTCAGATGAAATAAAAATTGAGCTATTTGGCCACAGTGACCAAAAAAAATGTTTGGAGGAGAAACAGTAAGGCCTTTTGCCCAAAGAACACCAAACCTACCATCAAGCACGGTGGTGGCAGTATTATACTCTGGAGCTGTTTTGGTACAAGTGGAACTGGAGCTTTACACAAAGTAAATGAAATAATGAAGAAGGAGGATTATCTTCACATTCTTCAGGAAAACACATCAGATAGAAGACTGGGTCTGAGATGCAGTTGGGTGTTTAAACAAAACCCCATTCATCCAAACACACATCAAAAGTGGTAAAGAAATGGCTGAATCAGGCTGTAACTAAGATTTGAAACTGGCCTTTCCAAAGTCCTGACTTAAACCCAATCAACAATCTGTCAATTATGATGAAGAAACAGGACTGTGTCAGACAGCCGACAAATTTTGTTGAACTGCACTAATTCTGTCAACAGCAGTGGCTAAAGACACAATCAGAAGTTACTAATTAACGTGAAAGTGGCTGTAATGACAATGTCTTGTGCTTGCCGTTACTGCACAGGAGAAACAGAGTGAACCGACGCAGATCAAAAAACAGAATCTCCAGTTTTTGTACTTGCCGGTAGTGGATGTTTACTCGATGATATGCATGCAATGAAAATACAGCAGTTTTCCTATTGCGAATCTGGTATCTGTGCTGGTTTGATGCTGGTCTGCTGCTGATCTGGTGAGAACTGTTGGCTCTCCCCCTACCTGTGCCCTCCACTTCCTGTCACCTGTTCCCTCTACAAATACACCCTGTGTCCAATAACCGCCACCATGTGTCCAATCAATAATAATAATAATAATAATAATCCACATCAAATTACTTGCCGACAAACATAAATTGCGCCTACAGTGGCCAAAGGATATTTAACCAAATATTTGCTGTACGTATCTTTTTTCAGGTGATTTTTTCACATTTCCATAAGACCTATAATAAGTTTAGGAAAAAACCTAAAGGCATGATTGTTTTGCTTTTTTTTCGACAAAGACGCATGTGTTTCAATGATTCCATCACAGAAAATTAGAAGTTGCAGAAGTCACTGGAAACTCATGACTGCCATGATACATGTGGTTTTTACAAGTGTTTTGTTTTTACAGCTGTAACTGCTGCTGACTGAGGCAGAACCATTGCAAATTACCTGCATTGTTTATGAGGATGTCCAAGCGCTCCTCATTCTCCTGGACATCTTTGGCCAGGTCTCTGACAGATTGCAGCGAGGCAAGGTCCAGTCTCTTTACCACCACATTGCCGTTCCCACTCCGCTGTCGAATCTCATCTGCTGCAATGCGGGCTCTGGTCATGTCTCTGCA